AATAATAATAATAATTTTGAAGTAAAAGAACATTTTCATGTAAGGTTGATTGTTCAACAGTTATAAAATAATTTTTTTAAAGATAGAATTTAGAATAATATATAAATAGATTATTTACAAAATAAATTTTAACCGATATAATATGCATGTTTTTCATCATGTTACTACACCCAATCATTTGACTTATTTGTTGGCTTCACAATATTTCGATTATACTTGTGGGAGGTTTGGAATCCTACATTACGATGAAATCAAAAAATAATGTTTGGTTACGTTGGGGCAGAAGGTTTGGAATATTCTGTTTGTGGAGAATTCTTTGACTCCTTTATATATAGTCTTCTAAATATAATCTTGATTAAGGATTAGAGATCCAAAGTCAATTTCAAATTAATTTTAATTGATTATTGTATGAATGTGAACAAAAGAATTTAGCTCGTGCAGGAGATGAATAGTACACATACAATTCCGATTTTGAAGTCAAATTTAAAGGTTGAATAGCTCAAAGTTTGGTAAAATTTCAAAATTTTCTAACTTTTCTAATTTGAGCTTATTTATATATTTCACCTGTCAATGGTGAGTTTGATAGTGTTTATCTAATCCAACACATTCTCATGACAACTACATGTTTTATGATCTTATGTTATTTCGATCATAAAAATGGGGAGAATGTGTATTGGTTATTCGAAAAAAGATTGTAATTTTTCAAAGTCAAGGTTTTTTGTATTAAACTTGGGGAAAGGATTATTGGAGTTGAGTATAACTTCAGGTCTCGTTGAAGCTTAGTTGCTCTAATGACCATGACACTTTGATGGCTTGATTTGTTTTATGGGGAAAGGATTATCAAGATTTTGATTTGTTATATGGCGTTTTTAGGTGATCATGCCATTAACAAATGTTATTCATGTATTATTTGTAGATTGATGTGACATCGAGAGGGAGTTATTCATTGTTAAGAAGTGATTCAAAAGTTTGATTATGAAGTGTGATTTCATGGTGGGTTTAAATTTTATATGATTATTTTTGGATTAATTTTTGGAGTTCAAGGATGATTATGCCCTTTGGAGCTTGCTTTGTAATGTCATATATCCCAAATGTTAGTTTGGAAACTACAGCGATTCAAGATTTTGGGTCACTTCGCTATTGTATATCACATATATGCTACATTTTTGCTAGTTGCCGGTTTGGAGTTTAGAACCTCATTTTTGGAGATTCATGTAATATATTTCAAGCATTGAAGGGAAGAATGTTAGGGTGCAATGCTTTCTATGGAAGGTGACAAGGAGGCTTGAAATATTCTTTTATGTTTGTGGATAACATTCCTTTTAAATTACCCACAAATGTCTCACGTATGATCAAAATCGATTTATCTAGGTGAGATCGTAAGATCGTACGATCCTATGATCAGTATCATAATTTTAACAACTTTGATTTTGAATGAGAATAAATATTTTTATATATAATTTATTTAAACGTATATTATTATTTAATTAATTTTTTTATAAACATCCCTTGTGGATCCTTAATTTTTCTTCTTCTCTTGAATCCCTTGCGAATTTCTTACTCTTAATCCCTATTAGATTAATCTAAGTTCTCATAAAGAACTCCCTTATCTTGTTCCTCTAAAGGAACTTTTCTCTATCTTCTCTAATCATACACACTCTGGATTCCCACAGGAACCATCTAGCTACATCCCCAAAGAGATCATCATCTCTTTTCCTGCAAATACATTATATCATTCCCGAAGGAACCACACTCTTATTCCCGTAGAAACCATTCTCTTGTCCCGTAGGACCCATACTCTCTATTCCCGAAGGAATCTCTATCACTTGTCCCCGAAAGAACCTTTATCTCTTGTCCTTGAAGGAACCATCTTTCTCTACATCTATATCTTTTTCATATTCTCATCTTTTTCTCATAATTGGCCAATTTTCCATTTTGGTCAATATTTGACTAAAAGTCAACTTTCTCTAAAATTTAGGTTCTTACAATGGAGGTCTGGGACGGTGGCGTCGGAGGTCTGTCAGCTTGGTTGGAGAGTCGCATGTGGAGAAGAACGAACATGGAAGGTAAGAAAAGAAATAGTTTAGGGCATAACGTATCTTTTCGTTTTTTCAGATGCGCTTTCATATCTGATGCGGTCAAATGTATTTATTTCAGACCCTTGATTAAGATGTAAACAAACAATCTGAATCTTTAAGATTCAGACCTACCCTTTTTCAGATTCATTGTGGTAAAAAACAATCCATTACTAGGGTTTGAGATATTTGAAGATATCGAAAGGCTTACCCCTAATTTGAGAGAGCTTGCGAGGCGTGGTGGAAGTTGTTGCCTTGGTGGCCATGGTCGTGGTAGGGTGTTGGAGGTCGAAAGTGGGTACGGAGAGCTTATCGGAGGCGAAGGAGTGGCAAAGAAGACGGAGAGGAAAAGAATATCACTATATTGTGCTTGAGCATTGAATATGGAGATAAAGGATTTGTTACAAGAATTCGTTGAGATAATGTGGTATGGAGGCAATGAGGTACAAGTCTTGGTGGTGGGAATGATGAAAGGCAATTAGGCCATATCAGCATCCATGTGGACAAGAATTAAGTCACATCATCTAAGATTACCTCATATCCCGTTTCATTCCTTTTTTTAAGAGGTCCTTTTAGACTTCAATGACTTAAAAAGCACAAAAAAAAGATATTGTTCCATTTAGAATCGAACGTAAGAGTTTGTAGGATTTTTATGGCATTAACCCTTTTAAAAAAGTTACCTTTAGAAAATATAGAATTAAAATATAATAATACTTAAGATATGTCGGAGGGGTATATTAGACTAGAGAGAGTGGGTGCAGTTTTACCTACGGTTCCGCCAGATCATCACCCAAAACACCGCCCTCACTCTGCGGTAGGAACCGTACTTTTTCTCTATTTTCACCAGCAACGACCCAAAAATCATGACCAAAAATTTCGTTTTAAAAACATTACTTAAACCACAATTGTCAATTCATAACATAAAATCATAATGTGAATTCAAATATAATCTTCTTATCAGAGTAAAACATCCCAGGCTGACTAGTTATGGTGTGTGCCATGCGATCATTCCGAGCTCTACTCTCCGCTACCTCAAATACCTGAAACCAAAACTAAAAACTGTAAGCACGAAGCTTAGTGAGCTCCCCCAAACTACCACATACCATACAATAACATATCAAGCATATATTGGGCCTTGCCCACTGCATCGGACCGAAGCCCGGACTAACTGGGGCCTTGCCCCCTGCATCGGACCGAAATCCGGACTAACTGGGGGCCTTGCCCCTGCATCGGACCGAAATCCGGACTAACTGGGGCCTTGCCCCATGCATCGGACCGAAGTCCGGACTAACTGGGGCCTTGCCCCCTGCATCGGACCGAAGTCCGGACTAACTGAACATAGCATAACATAATCATAGCTACTAACATAAACACATATATTGCATACTGCATCGGACCGAGGTCCGGACTAACTAACACAAAACATGCTTGAATCACAAAGACATCAAGCACACTGAACTAATGCATCGGACCGAAGTCTGGAACTACTGCTAACTAAACGGGCCGACATTGTGGCCGTAGACCCGTTCCTACTGGAAGGAAAACTCACCTGTACTGCTGAACTCTGATGATAATCCTCTGGCTGCTAATCGACTATTCTCTGAAGCGCTGCTCTCCTAGCTCACCGAGCTACCAACACCAAATAATAGAACTTAGCCTAAATTGTCCTCCAGAGGTCAACTAAGTCAACTCTGGTCAAGGTCCTGGTCAAAGTCAACCTTCCAGTTGACTCGACTCGCCGAGTTGTTCTACCAACTCGCCGAGTCCATGCTCTTCAAATCCCAAACAACCTCGACTCCACTCGTCGAGTCTAGCGAGAACTCGACGAGTTCTCCTTTATCTAACGCTTCGGGACTATCTTCAACCAACTCGCCGAGTTGTTCTACAACTCACCGAGTCCATCTTCATTAGCTAAGAAGATTGCCTTGGACTCGCCGAGTTCCTCCTTGAACTCGTCGAGTACCATGATATTCATGTCCATCACGGACACAGACTGGCTGAATCCTTTACTAACTCCACTCACTGATCTGTATCATAAACAGAAGGGTTTGGGTTTGCGACCCGACTCACCGAGTCCCTCTTGTGACATCTCTATTTTGTCGATTATAGACCATCCCAACACCTCCAACTCATAGATCTGGACTCCTTATGCTAGCATTGCACGTAAAGTTGCTAACTTTACGTGCAAGGAAGGTGTTATGGGGCTAAAACACTTAATCCAATGCTTCCAAGAAGACCTAGGTCATGAAATGGGACCCTAGCTGAATAAAGCCAACTACTTTGAGCTTCTAAAGCTCAAGAGTGTCCAGATCTATTGTCCAAACCATCCACAAAGGCTTAATACTCGGATTCTACTTGGAAATGATCCAATTGACAAAAAGGCAAGCTAGAAAGGGGATTTATCAATTGAAAGCTCAAGGTCTAGACTTTTTACCTTCTAACAGTTGCCAACTCGATGTGAAGGCTGGATCTACACTTCTTTCCTTGCTCCTTTCTCCCAAGCCTTCAAACTCCACTCCAATAGACCTTAATCTTTCACCAAAAGCTCCAAAAATGAAGTTGGGTGGCTAGGGTTTTGGGGTTCTGGGCGAGAGAGGTTGTAATGAACCCTAGGGAAGAGAATAAGATGCTTAAATAGGGCACCAAGTCCCAGAATTAGGGCTTCCTAACCCAAACCTGACTCGCCGAGTCCACTTTCCAACTCGTCGAGTCGGTCACTTAACTTGCACCCGGATGCCGCTCCGATTCGTCAAGTTCTTCCTTGGACTCGACGAGTTTACCCCCCTTTGACTTAGGGTTTTCCTTTTCTTTCTTGGCTTTTCTGATACCGGGCTTTTCTAATTTTGGCTTTTCTTGGTTTAATACATAATATAAAAAAATAAACAAAAAAGAAGTTGGAAATGGCGCGCCCTATTGGTCAAAAGAACAGTACTTGTTCCAAAATTTCGCAACCACCACCCCCGACGATAACTATGTGAAGATTCACACTCAACACACACACACCTTCTCCTCTCTATCACCTCAGGCGAATTCTCCATCAGACACCCACTTCAGCTAATCTTCATTCTTCACTCCGCTATTTCCCCAATTTCAGACCACAATTTCTTTACTTCTTATCAGAATTAGCTTCCCCCAAATTCACTGCATCATTTCTTTTGTTCTTGTGGATTACAGAACCAGTTGTGGATGCACAGTAACATGATATGATATGTGTGTTTGATGCCGTTTCTTGTTAATCTTCTTGACTTATATTTTAATTTCTTGAAGGGTAGAGCGTTTGCCGTGCCCTCCAAGTTCGTTTACCATTCTAGTCAAAATTAGGGTTTTGTTATTGTTTATTGTCTGTTCTTTGTGATACTTTTGGTGTTTATATTCTGTTTTGGTAATCGGAGGCTAGAAATGGAACCTCCTTCTGCAAGTAATTTATCTTCAAGTAGCAGTAGAAGTGGTTTAAGGTTCCGATTACGCGAAATCATTCGGGCGCCACTTTTGTCCTTTTTGGAGCAATCGGGAGTTTTCCACAACCAATCACGACCAGTTTCTACTTCTGATCTCGAGATGCAGCATGATAATGTAAATGATGATGTGTCCGGTGGTGTAGTCAACGGAGGAGAGGAGGTTTCTATTAGGATTATGGGCGCCGTGGAGGAAGAGTTGCCGGCTAATGCGGTGGCGAATGGTGGCGGAGTGGTTGGTAATGGTGAGGAACAAATAGGTAACTTTAGCGAGAGAGGAGTAGAGGAGTTAAGAAATGGAGTTGATGAGCAGACACCTGCAACTTCTTCAAATAACAATCGATATGATATTCAAAATGTCGCACAATGGATTGAGCAGATTCTTCCTTTCTCTTTGCTTCTCTTGGTTGTTTTAATTCGCCAACATTTACAAGGTAATCATTTTACTTTTCTTTAAAGTTTCTTGACAATTTTAGGTGTTCATCCATCCCATATGAATATGCTTCCATTTGTATTTGGCTCTTTTAGGTTTTTTTGGGACAATTTGGATATCTGCAGTTCTATTCAAATCAAATGACATTTTACAAAAGCAAACTGCTTTGAAGGTATAATTGAAATTTTGTCAAGTTTTCTCTTCCATGAATGATAGTTTCTGAATTCTTACTAACCCCTTAAATGTCAATGAATTTTTGCAGGGAGAGAGGAAGTTTTTTGTTCTTATCAGCATCACTGTGATCTTTTATCCTTCATGTAGTTTTTGTTTACTGGTGGTATCAAAATGATGATCTTATGTATCCATTGGTTTTGCTTCCTCCAAAATCTGTCCCACCATTTTGGCATGCTTTGTTTATCATCTTGGTTAATGGTATGTTCTTTTCATTGTAATGATTAAACACAGAAAATCACCACATATTATACTAATAGTTCAGTGGCTAAATCGATAATAATGTTGAAAACATTTGCTTACCTCAGATTCAATGGCGAGACAGGCGGCTATGGTCTTCAAGTGTATACTTTTAATGTACTACAAGAACACAGGTGGCCATAATTATAGGAAACAGGTAACCAATATGTGTCAATTACATATTTACCCTTCATGTTTTTTGAGTTATTTTTTATTTGACTCAAGGGTATATTTCTTTAGGGTCAAATGTTAACTCTGGTTGAGTACACCTTACTTCTGTATCGTACTTTGTTGCCTACCCCTGTTTGGTATCGATTCTTTTTGAACAAAGAATATGGAAGTATCTTTTCATCAGTTACAGCAGGATTATACTTAACTTTCAAGCTTACATCTGTCATACAGAAGGTATAAAATTCATTGCCTATTTTGAAAAAAAAGATAACTGATTTCATATTGGATATTTAAAATTTAAGTTGGAGACTTTTTTTTTTTGTGTGTAGATACGATTGGTGTTGGCTGCATTAAGGGTGTTGTCTCGTAAAGAGGTGCATTATGGTTCATCTGCATCTACTGAGCAGGTTAGCATGAACTTTTTGTACAAATATTTTGGTAATGAATTTAGGAATGGAATCTGTGAAAGGAATTGAAATATGAAGGAATTGGGATATGACAGAATCATAATCTGTCATGTATTTGATTGACAGGAAATGGAAATATGGAAATCAATGATAAAAAGTAAAAAAAGAAAAAAAAATGTTTCAATAGTTTGTTTTTTTGTAAATTTATGTAATTGAAAAAAAAAACTTGGGGAACATTGAAAAAGGATTTTGATGGAATTGAAATCCGTCCATTTGGCAACACGCCATGGACTGGAATCTCGAATTCCAATTCCGTTGGAATCCATGAACCAGACACACTCTTAAATTTCTAATAGATGCAATATTTTACAACACTCTTTTGAAATCAAACAATATGACTAAATTGCCCACATTCAGGTGAGTGCTGCTGGAGATCTTTGTGCCATTTGTCAGGAAAAACTGCACTCTCCAATTGTGTTACGGTGTAAACATATATTTTGTGAAGAATGTGTATCAGAATGGTGAGCTTTTTTTCTCTATATTTTATCGGTTTAATTTAGAATAATCATAAACAACATAATCGTTCAGTTGGGTAAAATGGTAAAAGTATGTATTTTGTCCTATTTCAAAACCATTTTTTTAAAAACGGTTAAAAAATGGTAAGTGGGGAATAAATAGACAAAACTGTAAAAGTAGAGGTACTTGTTCTGTAATATTTGAATCTTAAGTGGTTTGGGGTTTTTACAGGTTTGAGCGGGAGAGGACATGCCCATTATGTAGAGCCCTTGTGAAACCAGCAGACATAAAATCGTATAGTGATGGATCAACAAGCCTATGTTTCCAGTTTTTTTGATATTTAACAAACAGTAGATAAAGTACATGTAGATCTTTAAAGCCCTATCAAGATATCTGTTAACTGTGGGACAATCGTATACCAACAAGGCCACATGCATCGACCCCATTAGTTGTCCCATGAATAAAAAAATGTGTATTTTTTGTGAAAAAGGTAAATGTAATGCACACATGGTATTGAAAATGTATGTAAAGATGTGTGTTATCACATTATGTATTTTTTTTTTGTGAAATAAATTAAAAAGCCCTATTTCGCTAGATGAGTGCTTATATTTATGATACATGTTTACAAGGTGATTATATTATTATTGAACCACATCCTTTCTTGTCATTGTAGCGATCAACCCTATTACATGTTACAAATATTTAAGATATATCAGAAGTTATATAGCAGTTATAGAATGGATTTTCAAAAGATGCATTTAACTAAACTGATTTATAAAATAATTACACATATAATAACATGACACAGATGAAAGGTGTTCAAGTTTACATTGATGGTTAACCATTGAATACATGCACCAAAAAATACTTGCAAATTGAACAATTACATTACAATTACAATTCACATAGGAGAATTGTTTTGTTGATCCTCAGGGTTTACAAGAAAGGGGTTTGTAGGTGTAACAATAACATGCTGATTTGTGTTTTGAGGAGTTGATGTGAATGGCATATTGTTGATAGGGTACACTTGTGAAACCTCTTCTTTAGTTTCATCAATGTACACCACATCTTGCATGGTCAATTGATGGTATTCAACAATCTCCCTAAGAAACCGATTCTCCCTTGCATACACCGAGTTCTCTTGTGCCAACCGTGCTTTCTCTGCTAAAAGCGACTCAAGTTGGAGTCGAATCTGCAAAACAAATCATAAAAATCCATCACAATGCTATAAGGGTATTTTGGTCTTTTAATAAATGACATACCAAATCATCATCTTCAAGGCGACCTCCTTCACCACCAGTCTCTCTAAGGCTTCTGTTTTCCTCTTCTAACTGACCACATCTCTCCTTTGCAAACGCAAGATCCGCCTTCACTGTTTTCAGCTCACGTAGTAAAACCTTTGCTTTTGCTGCCATTGCCATTGATACCTGTAAATCCAATTCAACACCAAAACCCATATCATACATCTCATAAACACCTTCAATAATCAGCTAAAATGCAAGAAATAGCAATGTACTTGTTATTATAAATTTATAATTTCTTATTACAAAATTGTAGTTTGAATAATTAGGTAGATTGTTCAAAGTAGAATATGCAAAAGAAAAAGATTGAAAGTAGAATGCTATAATTTAGTGGATTTAGTTTAACTATAAATGAGTGAAGCACATCTGCCACCTTACGTCGCGTGAGGCTTTCAGTTGAATTTCTGTATCGGATTCCATTTTTAGTATTTGCTTTGAAGGTGGAATTTCTTCAGGCTTTTTCTTTATATGTAATTTGCGTGTTTCTTGAATGATGTCAGCAGTTCGATTCTCCACCACTGTCATGCCTTCCTGTGAGAGTAACATTAAACAAATATAAAGTTAATGTTATTTGACTTTTCAAAGGCTAGTCTGAGTCCAGTGCATGCCAAACACAGTACAACCTGTTCTATTTTGGAGTACAAGTGATACTATGCACTATGAACAACATTTTATACCAAATTATTTAAATGTAAAGATAGATAGAGAGGAAGCTTACCTCAAGAGCATTTCCAATGTAATTGAGAGATGATGTAATTGCATTTATCCCCTTTTGGAATGGAGGATTGCCTGCCTTTTGTTGATTATCTGGCAACTGATACTGACTTGAACCGATTTCTTTACTTCTAGCCTTCAAATAAGATTGATTTAGCTATATTAATAATAATAATAATAATAATAATAAAAAAATGTATACCCTGCTCCTTTCCCCAAAAGGGAAAAAGGAAAAAAGGAAACATCTTTCATAGCTAATTATTACCTGGCCTTTTGCTTCAATGTCAGACAGCTGCTGTCTTCTCCTTTCAGGAGTTTCATATTGCTGGGGAACATCATCATCATCCTCAATGATGGCCCTGGCTTTTCTAGCAAGAGCACCCCAAAAACCACGTATGGTTTCATCTGAATTCTTTGTTGATGTGTAATCATATCTTGTTGAATCCTACAACCATATGAGTAACCATCTGCTAAGGGAACTACATGATTACTTAAGCAACAGATGTTCACATATAATCACAAGACAGCAATTTCTGCAACTTTCATGCTTCAAATTGTCTGACAATTCACCATTTTCATTGGTCTATGCTCACGTTTTTGAATCATGATGTGCATTGTGAAATATTCTACTAGTCATTATGTCAGATATAGTACTCTCTCCATTTCAACATTTCATGACTAACCTAAAAGTAAAAGTCTTCTAATGCACATAACAAAAAAAGTTATGCAACTTAAATATCAACATTCCATTTGCCTCAAGTGTATACACAAATGCTAATGCGGGGAATAACTTCCTCTAAAGAAGTATAAACTCCATCATCAAATTGAGTAGCTCGTTTTTACCTTTTCATTAAGGAGGGGGCATCCCCGTGAACAATAACAATCAGATCAGAAGTAGAACAAAGCAATTAGCAACCACAACCAAAAAGCATACCGACTTTCCACATGTATACCGAAAAAATGAACAAAGACGAGACGCAAGAAAGTGATATGTATACAGACATAAATTGTACAAAGAGAGTACCTTAGCGGAAGATGAATAAGAAGATCGAACAGGATTGGACTTGGCTTGCCTTGGTGAAATAGCGGATTGACCGTAAGCCGAAGAGAGCGAAGATTCACGGTGAGCAGATGATGCTCTGATGGCTTTGGCAGCGAGAGACTCTGTAGCCATCGTGGGAGTGGAAGAGGATGATGAGCTGTCTCCCGGTGGAGATAAAGGATCATTAGGCCTATTTGAGTTAGGGTTTGGGATTGCAATTTCTTCCCTCAACATCGAATCCTTGACAAATCCTGGCCTTCTTCTATACGCCATACTAATCAGAAGTGAGTTCTGAAGTATTTCACTTCCACCAGCCGCTACCACCGCCGCTGTGGAGATAGAGACGCCGGTGAAATGAAATGGATCCGAAACTCCTTTCAGTCAACACATGTAGTCCCACTGTCAGTTGCTTGTCAGTATCTCTATTCCATCCGGGATCCAGGGGTCGGTATTGGGTTTTCCGACAGGCCTCATTTTCATATCGGGCTTTGTATTAATGGGCCTTTCATTATAAGCCAGTTAAAGAGTACAAGCATTGCGTTGCTGCATTTTCACATGTTTGAATAAAGAAAATAATGGAATGAATAAGGATAAAGCTGTATCATTCATTGTATTCTATTGATATATTTAGTTGGTTTAAAGGAATCAATTAAATATGTCGTTTGTTATGTTAATTACAAAATTTTAATAAAATAAAATTAATAAAAAATGAAAAAATAGTTTTTTTTTTTTTTTTTTTTTTTTTTTTTTTTTTTAAAGAAAAGATTGATAAATTGTATAGAAAAAATTGATCATATAATATACTCTTTTCCAAAAATAACCAAAAAAAAATGAAAATTTCTCAGAAACATCTGCGAAAATCGATGTTGCCTGGGATATTATTATTAAAAAAATTTAATATCATTTTTTTAATAATCAATAAATAGAAATTAATACATCTTAGTTATCATCGTACAACGAATGAGAAGACAAACGGGTAACAAGTTGCGCCGCTAAGCCTTTTTGTATGATAAAACCAATTCTTTTGAAGACTACATCTATTGATCTAGGGGATGATCCATTGTACTCTACTAAGAAGCTCCACCGCATCCGGCGCAAGGAAACCAAACATATAAAATGCAAAAGGTATGAACATGTGTTGATTTTTTACGCACGATTTCTCATGTTTGGTAATCTTGCATGTAGCAGCTTTTAATGCAGCTTGTCCCGTCGTGAAACCTCCGACCCTCAAGCCTACGAGAGGGTATACCCATGTAAGGTCCACACATGCGTGTTTCCCTCCAACTCATCCAAAAATAAAAACGTCAGCTGGTCTAAGGGTTGACCTTCCTTCTGTCGGGTCAGTCAGAAATTTCACATGAGCCTCTTTCTTGGCGGAAACTTCGGCACGCTTAAATATGTCGACCAAAACATCACTAACCATATCGTGCCTGTATTTGAACCCCGTGAGTTCTTTGCAATGGACTGCATGCTCTCCAAAAGAGTCCAAACATGTCTTGCGGCACACCGGACATATCTCGTCGGTTGGAAATATTGGAATCATGAGTTGATATTTGAGAATGGTACGATACTCCACAGGAGACATATATTGGCCAAGCCCATCTATATGGATAGCTAGAAGAAAATCTTGAGCATGTGGTGCACGTAAACACTGGAAAACTGCTTTCTGCCGAGTCGTCATGTTGAAATGCACTTCCATATCTTGGTCAATTTTACTAAAAAGGGCATTCACCAGTGTATTCTAGGATTTAGGGCGGGGTGTCCTTAGTAGTAAAACTGCTAAGGTCAATGTCCGGAAGCTTGTTACGAAGAGAAGCTAAGGCACAATCATAATCAGAATCCACACCATAAATGCCGTTATCCCGTACGATGTGGTCTTGCAATACCCAAGATTGGGCCCGTGAGGCAACAAAAACATATGAGGTAGCCTCTACTGCCGAGTATAAACCCAAACCACCAAACCGAATGGGTAGGGAAGCAATTCGCCACTGTATGTCGCCAAAGAAAGGGCCACCACAAACCACAACGTCCTTAATCGTCTCGCGCAACCCATTATCGAAGAACAACTCCGCCTCCTCCATGTGAAAGGGTTGACACGTCCTTAGCCCAAAGAAAAGTTTAGCAATACCCATACAAGACCGAAGTAGAAAGAGCTCACTCTACAGGTCAGACAGTTGTGGAAGAAGGCACATCAAATTTACAGCATTTTCAGCTCTCTTTATGGCTAAGCTGCTAATGAAACTAGCATCTCTACTAACAGCTCCCCCGAGAATTTTGACCCCCAATGGCGGCCTTCCGATGCCAACTGGGAATAGCCCCTCACTCAGCTTCCTACCATCACACGAGGGCCAAAAGAAGCTCGGTTTTCTTGATATTCAACTGAAGGCCTTGTTGGATAAGGTGTCTAAGTCCATAACTATTTCTGGTATGTACTTGACCCGGTTGGCATGGTCCATTTGGGTTGCATGGCATTGCAATACTTGGATAGACCAAAATGAGAGAAAGGACACTTAAGGTATTTTAATATATTATAAGTTCTAATATATTAATAATATTATTTAATTAGTATTGATCAAAGAATTAATTTGGAATTAATTAAGGGATCAAAAAGAGACTAATTAAATATATGGGGTTGATTGTGTAAATCATCTATTCTTGTATAGTGGGCTAATGATCCATGCTTTATATGGATTGGGTTAAAACTCATAAGGTGCTCCATGGATAGTCCATGGAGGTTATAAACCCATGGATCATGGAATATGGAAAGCCATGACAATTAGGGTTTACATGGTGTAACCGTACTTGTGCCACAACTATATAAAGACCCCTAGACAAGCAAAATCGGCACTTGTACAAGCAAGAAAGAGGGCTAGCCGATTTTGAGTGTTAGTGAACTTCTCTCAAGGTTATTCCAAGTATTGTGGTGTTGTGTGAGACATTTGAGGCATCACACTTGAGGTGCTAGGCTCACAAGGTTTTCAAGGAATCCAAACAACATAAGGTATGCTCTACATCTAGCATTTATGTTTAAAAGTTCCCCATGCTATGCTAGATAGGTTATGAACCTTGGAAATCACATTTGCATGTATCATAGTAAAACATAGATCCAAGGTTTCTACGGTTGCATGTACACCATAGGAGTGTTAGAATGCTCAAAACCCTTCAGTGGTATCAGAGCCTAGGCTTGTTTATTTGATACTTGATGCAAACTTGTTGAAAAAACTTAGTTTTCTGCATTCTGCAGCATGAACTCGCCGAGTCCATGGGGGGACTCGACGAGTCCATGAGTTAATTCATCCTACTCGTCGAGTAGGTTCGTGCACTCGACGAGTAGGATCCCATGAATGCAGATTTTCGAGTTTTGCTGCTGGAAATGGACTAGAAACATTACCCTAAACTGTTTTGGTGTTATAAAACTTATTTTAGATGGTGTAATGATTATGCTAATCCATTTTCAATGGCTATTATCAAAATTTCAAGTTTTATATGGTTTATTTATGATTCTTGAAATTGTTGATATGAACATTCATGAACTTATGAGTTTAGAAGATCATAGGAATTATTTGTAACTTGCTTGTTAGTTTAATTCTTGATCTTGATGTGTTTTAATGGAATCCATAATTTGTCCTCAAGTTATGGATTACCAAAAGTCACTCTTTTAAAGTCCATTATTAAACACATAGGTTACATAAAATGAAAAGTCACTCATTTTATTAATCCATTAACTCATAAGTTATGAAAGATGAAAAGTTTTGAAAGTTACAAAACTTGCCCTCAAGTTTTGGAAAATGTAAAGTTACTTTAAAACTTTAGTTCCAACCCTTAGAATTTTAAAAGTTAAAATTCAACCCTTATACTTTATAATATTATAAGTTTAATAATAAAATTATATATGTATAAGAACAAGTCGTTTTACCATTAGTAGGCCTCATTCACGAAGCTGGTTTATAAGGGGGGTATAAGGTTGTTGCCTATAAAATGACAGCTTAATGGGTGTCCACTCTCACCCACCGCTTCCTTGACTGGTGGAGGGTCGTTAGCCGAACGGGTGCTAACCCATTAAATTACACTTTGCACTTTGTTTAAGTCGTTAGTGGAGCGTGTGTGGTTAACCGGCACACTAACCTGGACTTAACAAGGTAGGCAAAGGGTGACTTAAGGTTTATCATAGGTCGGTGGAGCGCGTGTGGTTAACCGACACATCGATTGAGTGATAAACATTAAGGGTACCAAGTAATTTGCATGGTTACTTCACACCTTGTTTTGTGATCCTCGGCATCCCAGTCATAAAACTTGAAGGGTACACTCGAGATTGAAACATGCCATTGAAAAGTTCAATGAATCTCAAATAATCTAGGAGTTTCAAAAACCAATTAAAACCTAATAATTTATTTCTTTTTTTCATGGTGGAAATTGGTGAATCGTCATTCACCTATCTTCAAATATTTTATAGCTTGGATTACGGCATCCAAATTCTAAGTTATAAAATATTGTGTTGGGTCCTAGCCTTAATATTACATTTGGGTGTTTTATTAAGGACTATCTTTATATCTAATCTAAACTTGTCTTTCTTCTTTTCAGATGTCTTCCAACAATGCTGCTTCTGGCTCAAACCCTACTGGCTCCTTCTCTCTCATGAACCTTTGTTGGAGAGTCATCTTCGATGGACCCAACTTTATGGATTAGATCAGGAACATCAGGATGGTCACTCGTTATGAGGACAAGGAATATGTCCTCGACAAGGAGCTTAAGGAACTCGATGAGTCATCTGCTACTCCTGAGGAGATCGCTGAATACCAGGCACATGAGAGAGATGCCACCAAAGTGGCATGTATCATGTTGGCCACAATGACAGCCGAGCTCCAAAAGTCCTATAAGGACTTCTACCCTTTTGAAATGCACCAGGACTTGATGGACTGCTACCATCAGAGTGCTCGTCAAGAGAGGTATGAATCATCTCCTCCATGATAACAACCAGGATGAAGGATGGTGAACCCATCATGGGCCACATGCAGAAAATGCAAAGGTATGTGGACCGTTTGCTGAAACTGAATGTGAACTTCCCAGAGGAGTTGGCAATTGATATCATTTGCACTCTTTACCTTCGTGTTATGATCAATTCCACATGACATACCACATGAACAAGGAGGAAGTTACACTCAGCAAACTTCAAGGACTATTGAAGACCGCAGAAAGTGGTCTTAAAGGTAAGTCGGTTGTTACTACTCCTACTCCTACCGCAGCCCCTGTCTTGGCAATCAGGTAAGGCAAAGGAAAGAAGAGGAAGAGCCCTTCGAAGGGTACCAAAAGGAAAGTCCGTTGATGGCTCCTCTTCAAGTGGAACCAAGAAAGGTTTTGTCACTCCTTCTGCTAATCCTAAAGAGGGTGCATGCTTCTATTGCCATGAAAAGTCGCATTGGAAGCGAAACTGCCCAA